CCAGCATGGGGGGTGGACACTCTGCAGGAGGACTGTGGGGAGCAGGCCCTGGGCAGCAAGGGAGGAGGCAAAAGTAGGGCAGAGAGCTTTACTTGAGGTGAGCGTATGGGTCACAGGACTCAGAAGGACCAGTGGGTGGCCGTGTAGCTGGCTGCTCCCTGTTCCTTCCCTGCCTCAAGCAGTCACACACTCAAAGCAGGACCAGAGGAGTAAGCAGCGCAGCGCTTTGCCTCCCTATGCAGACCAGCTCCTGGCAGGCTGACCCTACAATCCATACATTCAGCAAAGCTTTTACAGGAAGCTGGGCCCCTGGCATGCTGCTCTGCTTTGGGATGCACTGTGGTGAGCCTCCATGTCCTATGGGAAAGGAGAGGGGGCAGGGATGGAGGCCACTTACTGGAAAAACTGGAGCAATGGCAGGGAGGGGACGCCCAGCCCTGGGAAAACATCCCTGTCTCCTGGAAGCTAGGGTGGAAGCTAGACCGGAGGTGGTTGAGCATTGTACTCCCTCTCTGGAGTGCTCTTTAGATGGGGGAGTCCAGCTGTTGGTTGCTCCTCCTGAATCTTCTGTCCACTCGCTGTCACCCGGTGATCAGCGGCTGGGTGCAGCCTGAGAGGAAGAGGGGGCACCATGGCACTGACATGCAGCACATAGCTGCCAAGAGCACCATGAAGTTTGAGACAATTTAAAATTTGAGGCAAATGTAACAAAAATCAATATCAGTTATCCAGTCTCCTCAAAACTGAGGAAGGTTTTCAGTCTCCTCAAAAATGATTTTCTGACACCATGTCTCGTACTCACTGTCCCATATCAACCCTCAAGTTTACATTTTTTTTAAATAACTGAAGAGCACTGTACCAAGCCAGCCAGCACTTCAATATTATTCTACATATTCCTTCTTCCCTTTAGCTTCTTGTCTCAGATTCATCTTAGAGTCTAAGCCCCTTTAGAGAGAGTCTGTATCTTCTCTATGTAAACTGTCACACACAAGTAATAAATATTAAGCTATAATAGATGGATTTTATCCCACCTCTCCATTTTGCATTAGTGTGCATTTCCAATCCAGCTGCAGGTGCCATACTGTATACTGTAAGGCTTTGTTCTCCCAGAGTTACAGGTTAGCTGGAACAGTCATGATTTCCAATGGTTTGAGAACCAGGAGTGAAGTAGGAATGATGTATCATATCACATGACTTTCGTTTAATACAAAGAGGAAAAACAATTTGTGCCCTTACCTCAAGAACAACATTTATGCACATCTGACCATCCAAAGACATGGGGAGCAAAAGAACACTACTGCTTTTAAGCAGAGTACGTGTTCCATTCAGAGACTGGATCGTTATGGTCTGGACAGTAATATTAACCTGAAACATAAACAAGTGTTATTTCTTAAATACTAAGTATAATTGAACTGTTAGGTATGTACAATGATCCTGCCTGAATGACTGATACTTTTTCTTGTTTAAAAGAAATCCAACTGTTATAATAACTACATTAACATGGGGATTCAATCACCAGAATTAATAAATCATCTTGGAGTATAGCTCCAAGCTCGTGAAAACCTTTTCACTTGTTAACTATGCCCTTGCTGACAGAAGACATAGTAATTGGCTTAAAGTGCATATTTTGCTTGGATTAAACAGTAAGAGTGAAATAGTGGCCCCATTGAAGACAGCAACAAAACTCCCATTGACGTCAGTGGAGCCAGGATTTCATCCAAAGCGCATCTCATCTAAGAAATAATATTACTTACCATCTGACTTGACTTAGGTACCTACAGGAAAAAACAAAAACAAGCTATTTCACACAACAGCCACATCATTAGTTAAAAATAGCAGATAAATAAAAAGTAAGTAGTTAAGACTTAATTGCTTTGTCTATTTCCTTCTCCTTTACCAACAATTATCTAACAATACAGTGGCTTTCACATCAAGGAAGTTAACTAGAAATACCATACATTATCCTCCCTGACAAAATGTTAGCTACTCCTCATGACTTATGGGCATAATTCTTGTAGAACTTATGGCCTGCTCCAGTACCCATTGAAATCAATGGAAAACTTCCTAGATTTCAGTGAATCAGACCCCAAACTGTGGCTAACCTCCCACAAACAATCATAAATTCAGCAAGGAATAGGTGGATCTAAGATTTCCTTAAAAGGTAACCAAAACTTGATGTCTGTTCTTACTATTTCAAATATTACCTGCCTTTTTGCAACACAAAGCCTGATGATAAAGTGAGCAGGAAACACTATGAAAATCAATTGTACCAAAACACAACTTTAGAAATGGCATTTCTACTTTACATAATGCAAGCTGAACCTCCCAAATCTGAAACTCTGTGGACCAACAACATCTGTGGTTTGGAAGGACCATGGATGGATGTTGCTTGACCAGAGAGCCTTGGAGGCAAGGAGCATGAGTCAACTGGGAATCCTGCGGGTGTTGCAGAACTTCAGCTGGGCCAGCAGGGTCTGGTTCTGCAGTGGGTGGGGAGTCCAGCCCCAAAAAGCCCCAGCGGTGGCAGCCTGGAGGAATCCCTGGCCCGAACAGGGAACCATGGTGGAAGCTGGCCCCAGTCAGGAGGATTCCCCACCCCAGCTGGGAACCCCAGTGGCAGTGAGGTTGGGGCTGGCTAGAGAGTTCCAGCCTGAGGAGGCTGGCCCTGGGGGTCCTGGCGTAGGGCTGGCAGCACGGTGGGGAGCCCAGGTTCCGGCAGACTCTATGGTTTGTACTGAGTGTGCTGGATCAGGGAGATCCAATCTGTAGTTGTTTGCATGTTAGACTGCTTAGCTTACTGACAAGAGTTTATGCTGCAATATTTCTACAATGCTCCACAAGCATCAAGATAGATTCTTATATTCTTCATTAAAATTACCAACTAAATCTTATTTTTTGTTGGCAGTGGCACACAAAGCAGAATCAGAAATGTTTAGGTCATGGGTCTGTTTGCAGTGGTCTCAAGATAGGCTTAGTATATTGAGTAAAACTGATGGAGATTTCACAGAGAAAAATAAGGAATACCTATGTGTCATTTGTGAAACCATGACTAAGTCCAAGGCTTAGTGCTTTCATAGAATCATACACTCATAGAATCATAGGACTGGAAGAGCTCTTAGGCGGTCACCAAGTCCAACCCCCAGCTAAAACCAGGACCAACCCTAACTAAATCATCCCAGCCAGGGCTTTGTCAAGCCAGAACTTCAAAACCTCTAGGGATGAAGATTCCACCACTTCCCTAGGTAACCCATTTCAGTACTTTACCACCCTCCTAGGGAAATAGTATTTTCTACTATCCAACCTAGACCTCCCCCACTGCAACTTAAGACTATTGCTCCTCATTCTGTCATCTGCCACCACTGAGAGCAGCTTCTCTCCACCCTCTTTGGAACTCCCCTTTAGGTAGATGAAGGCTGCTATCAAATCCCCCCTCAATCTTCTCTTCTGCAGACTAAATAAGCCCAAATATCTCAGCCTCTTCTCATAACTCATGTGCTCCAGTTCCCTAATCATTTTTTTGCCCTCCATGGGACTCTCTCCAATGTGTCCACATCCTTTCTGTAATGGGGGCCCCAGAACTGGACACCATAGCCCAGTTGTGGCTTCACCAGTGCAGAATAAAGGGGAATAATCACTTCCCTAGATCTGTTGGCAATGCTCCTACTAATGTACCCCAATATGTCATTAGCCTTCTTGACTACTATTAACTCATATCCTGCTTCTCCTCCACTGTAATCCCGGTCCTTTACTGCTGAACTGCTACTTAGCCAGACCGTCCTCAGCTTGTAGTGGTGTTACAAAATGTCTCCTTTTTCTTTTTCATGGAGAATAAGACAACAACAGGAAGATGATTCATTGTTGAAAAAATAAGTTTTAAACTAGAACAACAGTGGGTTTAGACACCAGCAAGTTTTTGTCTTGCAACAGTTAAAAAGGGAACTGAGGGACAGTTATGTCCATCCTGCCTTTTATAAGAGCATGAGGAAGCAGAGAGCACAGGTACAGCACAGACACTGCTATTAAAAAATAACCTATATGAGTCCATGAAACTCATGTGCATCTAGAGTAGGACCCACACACTTAAGAACATCAATGTGATTCTAACAAAACCCTGGCAAATGCCAGATTAGACACTCTAACCCAGATCCTACAAAAGTATGTAGGTGCCTAAATTCCGGTGAAATCAAATTAGGAGCCTAAATATTTTTTAAAATCTAGGCTCCTGACAACAAGCTTTTTATGAATGCCTAGGCTTGCACATCAAAAGTGAAAAATGCTGGCTCTACAATAAGTCCACTAGCTCAGCAACAGAAATCCTAGAATCATGCACAAACTCACATCTTTCAGGTCATCTTTTAACTGTCTCCCCCCAAAAAATGCTTCTCCATGCTGAGTCTGAAGGGAAGATAGGAGGAATGGCTATTTCTACAAGATACGATGATTATAAGATTTTTTCCTAATCCCACTTAAACTCTTATATAACGCAACAATTATCTCACTTACCTTACGAAGTGGAAATTACATAATTCTAAATATGTGAAATGATAAGAAATAAAACCAATTGCCATCCACCTAATGTGTTTCAAAACCCTACTTACTGCTAAAATGCTGGAGTTAGTGTAGAACAGCATACTAAGTGCTTGAATAGTGCTGCAATTGCCCATATTTATCATTCTACTGCATTTCACAGCCTGGTTTACTAGAAAACCTGTAAAAATCACAAAGTATTACTGTGAAAACTAGAGAAAAAAATTATGAAAAGCAAGAGATACAAAAATCTCAAGTAAGTGCAACACAGGAAGGGAATATGAAGTAATTATTAGCTGTCAATTAAAAGGTTGTTTATTAACACTTCCATACAAGCATATGACCATGTCTTAGAATCAATGAGCATTAGGCAACCTATTCTACAACTGTAGCTAAAACAGTTTATCACATTCATAGCGAAAATCCTCATACTTCAGGTTAAATTCAAAACTAACTGTCATCGAAGGCAAAAAATTAGGGAATATTTTCCATTTCTTTGGCATTTTTACTTTTGTTTAGAGACAAAAAAAAGAATCACACTTTTTCACATAAAGAGATATATTTATCTATTAGAATTGTCGTTGAAAAGTCATTGAATCCAGACCCCTGCCTTCACAGCAGGACCAAGTACCATCCCTGACAGATTTGACCCAGATTCCTAAATGGCCCCCACAATGATTGAACTCATAATCCTGGGTTTAGCAGGCCAATGCTCAAACCACTGAGGTACTTGTGTGAGGAACTGCCTTGGTTTCAGTGAAGATTCCTTTCAAGAGTTGCAGGACTGAGTCTTTCGTCACATACCCCATCCCTCCTTCACACTAATTCTATTGCATCCATAAGGCCATAAGCTGTTTCAGAAATGGAAAATAAACCCATTAATGGAACTCGGTGATCTATACCACTGAGTTCACTCACTCTCACTCTTTCTGTATACAGGCAGTCCCTGGGTTACATACAAGATAGGGACTGTAGGTTTGTTCTTAAGTTGAATCTGTACATAAGTCAGAACTGGCGGTCAGTTTCAGCAGCGGCTGAATCTGGATGCCAGTTCCGACTTACATACAGATTCAACTTAAGAACCCCAAGCGTCCCCAAGTCAGCCGCTGCTGAAACTAACCAGCAGCGGCTGAATCTGGATGCCAGTTCCGACTTACATACAGATTCAACTTAAGAACCCCAAGCGTCCCCAAGTCAGCCGCTGCTGAAACTAACCAGCAGCGGCTGAATCTGGATGCCAGTTCCGACTTACATACAGATTCAACTTAAGAACCCCAAGCGTCCCCAAGTCAGCCGCTGCTGAAACTAACCAGCAGCGGCTGAATCTGGATGCCAGTTCCGACTTACATACAGATTCAACTTAAGAACCCCAAGCGTCCCCAAGTCAGCCGCTGCTGAAACTAACCAGCAGCGGCTGAATCTGGATGCCAGTTCCGACTTACATACAGATTCAACTTAAGAACCCCAAGCGTCCCCAAGTCAGCCGCTGCTGAAACTAACCAGCAGCGGCTGAATCAGGACGCCTGGGGCAGAGCACCTGGGGTGCTGCCGGGTTGGTCCAGTAGTGCCCAGAGCAGGGCTGCGGGACCAACCGGCAGCGCCCCAGCTGCTCTGCCCCAGGGTCCACAACAAAAGCCTGGTCTGCTGGGGACCATCTCCAGCAGACCAGGGGCACCGGGAGCAGCTTTTCTCGCCCAGGAGGTCGAGGTGGCAGGACCGCTGCCTGCGAGCTCCGGGACGAGAAAGCCCCATTCGTAAGTGTGGATCCGACATAAGTCGGACCCGCGTAAGTCGGGGACTGCCTGTATATACATATAGGTTCTGAAAGCTTCAGTTAACGTGGAACACAGTTTCCTGTCTATGACCAAAACATAACTAAGTGCCATTTTTAACAAAACTTGACCCAGAGCTGGACAGGTAAGCATGCTAATTCATTTGAATCATCTATAAATTGGAGTGGCAGGAAAACAAAAGCACACACTAAAGAGAGGATAAATAGGAATTAGAACGTGTTCTCCAACCTGCAGGATTAGCATCAGAGCACTGAGAGGAGACCAAGGGAGCAGGCAATCTCAGAAATCCATCAGCCGTCTGTATTGGAACACCATACTGCCAAAGAAAGGGGCAAACCCAAGCTTGTTGATTTTCAGTACACAGAAAGATTCATAAAATGTACCACAAATTTAATAAGAATTATTAACATTTTGTTTGCTTTTACCAAGATTCACAATAAATCAAACTTCTCCACCCACCAATATCTCAAGCCAAGATCATGTTACCATTGTAAATTCACTGGCAAATTAAAGATTTGCTACAATCACTGGAAATTTTCCAGCTTCATCTGTTGTTAAAAAAATAAAACAAATCTCAAATACTATAAAGTCCACATTTTAGAAATTTGCACTGACAACTGACTAGATAAACCCTACTTGCTAGATTTTAATAGTATCTTGCCATTTCCTTTTTTCTTATGAATAATAGAAAAAACAGCATAAGGAAGTCACACATTTCCCACATGTTAAAAATTCACTTTGATTTTTGGAGAAGACTCAAGCCAAACGCTGCACTTTAGAACTAATGAAAGACCATAGTGAAGTCTGTATTTTTTTAGGACAGTAACTTGAAGTTGATGCACACAATGTTTATCAATTCTATATGGATTTATTAGCAAGAAAGGTGTTTTATGATTAAAGAAACTGAATTTAAAACACTGCAAATATAAAAAGAATAAGATTATTTTTACCTCATATCTAGCAGTTTCATTTGCACCAGAGGAATTCTGAACATCTGATTCAGTATTCAAGCGAACGTCAGATTCAGCACTGAAGGAAATGCCTTCAAACCGCTTAAGCAAATTATCAAAATTTTGTGAGGTAGGCACTTCAGGAGGAATAAAGGACAGTGCTTGTTTATCTGTAAAATATTTTATGAGGAGAAAGTCTTAAAATAAAAGTTATAAAAATTGTGTTTAGTAATATACATTTTCATTGTGGAGTCAGAAGCATACCCTTGACACTTCAACACAGGAAGGAAAATACCAGAATAGAAAGAATAGTTCTCAAGGTTTTCCAAGAGATATCAGCAGGTTTCCATAATTTGGCCCTGATTCAAAAGAGCGCTTATGCGTGTGCTTAAATTTAGGCAAAAAATAAAATGCTTTCCTATATTTGGACCTGTGGTGTTCAACACATTAGCCATTAGCCACATGTGGTTATTTGGCCCATTGGCCCATGTAGCTAGTTTACTAGTTTGCTGCTTCAGAGCTGGTTGGACATAACAGTTTTAGACCAAAGTCTCTGATGTGATCATGTATTCAGATATCAAGACATGCCAATTAAAGTCCACGCTTTCTATAAATTATGGATAGTGTTTAAATTACTACTTCATAGTCATGATGAGATGAAAAAAATTACAACATCAACCCTATTTCACAGATGTAAAAGGCTCCACAAGACTGACACTGAAAGAGTTGGAAAAATTTCAATTACACGGTCACAGCTGGAGCCAGCTAGAATTTGTTCCTGCTGCAGAAAATACACATTTTTCATTTAAAAATTTAAACTTTTTGTTTTCTGATTTAAAAAACTTAAAATTTGAGATAAACACGAATTTTTTGCAATAATTTTACATTTTGTCAAAAGCCCAATTTCTGACTGAAAAAAAGTTTTGATGGTAATCTTCAACCAGCCTTAGTTACAGCCCAGTTCCATTGTCTCTACCAAGAGGCTCTATATGGAAGCAAAATTCCTTTGATAACCTGTTACTGTTTTATCAGGGTATGACACAGAGCATGGCATCAAGGTCCTCAAGATACAGAATAACTAGTCTTTTGCAAGTGTGGTAACTTGCAGTTTTCGTTTTTATTTTTGCCCTCCATAGGGTTTTGAATATGGCAACACTGTATTGCTCAGTATCAACTATAGATCTACTTACAGTTTGTAGAGTGAATGCAGAAAATACTTGGATTGTTCTGATCAACTAACTTAAATGTCCTTTCAGGTGGATGTGCTTCAACATTGATTGAATACATAGCTGCTTTCTGACTGCAAAGCTGGCTGTCACCTCTGCAAACATATATACAGATCCAGCAAAGTCAATCTTCACAGTGTTGTTTTAAAATCTTTATATGTATGAATTGTTAAAGGAATTCAACAGGAGGGATGGATAACTGCAGTAAAGATTTGTAGATGATTTATGCACATTTGCAAGGAGTAACATTTTATCCAGTTTATCCCAGAAACAAATAATAACAATTAGCCATTCTCCAATATCGTTCATTCATGGATTTTCAAAACAGAAGGATGTGATAATAGTCACAGTTCAGACTAGGACAGCATTTGATGAAAAGAATATAAAAGATGACAACTCAGATGGGATTCAATTGGCTTCAGATACACAATGGCAGATGTGTTGAAGACTGGACATTAAGGAAGAACTTTTATTCATACCAGAGAGAAGGTATGGGATGGGTTGGAATAAGGTTAAAATAGAGAGGGCAGCCCTAATAGATCATATCTAATAAATATCTTAATAAAAGAGAAAATAGGATTTGGGAATATATACATTCTGTATATTGCATTTATTTTAATTTTGATCATGTCCTTTCACTGCTTTTGACCATTCTGCATTATTCACTCCCTGTAGCACAAGCGGAATCACTATCTCATATTCAAATCCACCAGCCAATATGGGGGTGGGGAATTAATATTCTTCAGAGTGTGACATCTACTATCCCCTGAAATGCATGGAAATTTCACTATCAACTATATCGCTGCAAAATCAAATTCTCTTGTTGACCTTCAGTGATGATGCTAGTAATTCATGCTCCTGTCCTAAAGTGAATCAATATTTCCTCTCCTTGATGTTATTAATTTCATTCCTTCTTTCCTATGTGTTCTGAGTAGTTCATTATATGACCTATTAGGTAGAGAATTGTAAACTATTTCAGAAGATGAACCACATCTTAAAAGGTCCACATCATGGACCATATTCCTGCTCTTTCAGGATCCCACACACCACCTCCCTTCCAATTCATAATTATAACAGGCCTGTAGCCATTGCTTACATCAGGGGTGGGCAATCATTTTTTGCCAGGGGCCACTTTGAAAATTTGTGAAGGGGCAGGGCATCAAGCCAAAGGGGCGGGGCCAAGATATTTCCAGGTTCTCCAACACCAAACAATGATTGGTCTGGGGGTGAGGGAGTACCTTTGCCCCTACCCCAAGTTCCCCCAACATGCCCATACCCCTGGTGTGAGAAGAGACTTCCTTTGCTACCCGTCCCCTAGGCCAAACAGGGCCTGGGGGCAGGGGAGCATGTGAAGCCTCCTCCACTCTACCCCCACCCTCTGTGAGCAGCACTTCAAAGCACCACATGCTCCTGGCAGGATGGGAGGAGGCTTTGTGCGCTCCCCCACCCCCATTCCAATTAGGGACTGGAGGAGAGGGAGCAACCAAAGCCTTCCCTGCTCTGCCCCTGCCCTGCAAGTAGTGCGCGGTGGTTTATAGCACCACATACTCCTGTCTGTGTGGGAGGAGGCCAATTAAGGCCTGGAGGTGGGGAAGCACGCGAAGCTTCCTCCTGCCCTGCCAGGAGCACGTGGCATTTTCAAGTGCCACGAGCTGCTCGTAGGGCAGGGGCAGAGTGGAGAAGGCTTCACTCGCTCCCTCGCCTCCAGGCCCTAATTGGACTGGGGGCGGGGGATCAGCAGGGCATCCATGCTCTGGATCTGACCCGTGGAGACCCTTTTGCCCACCCCTGGCTTACATGCAAGTTACCATAATTAAAATGTCATGCAAAAGTGAGATGCAAAACTTGTGGTCATTGACAATTCCTTGATGTGTCACAAAAGAGAGCTTGAGAAAAAAAATACAATTTGATTTTATGCATTTCTAGTGGATAAGAATAAAATATTCATACAGAGGATTAAACTGTCATACAGAAAGGCTTTGATTATACCTTTCTAACTATACATATATATAAAAAATAAAATACCTATAAATGGGTGGCAATATGCATTGTGTGGAAAAACAATGAGAAATAGCAGTCCCAGGTGGCTGAATGAGTCAAATTTCAAAGCACCCAGAATAAACTCATTTATTCAGATTGGGCTAATTTATGCCGGAAGTGGGTTGAAGAGCTATGCTCATTGTTCCAAGAAGTCACACTGAGCTATTTTAAATTAAGACTCTACAATGAGCTTTCTTAATTCCTGTTTGAAAGTGGAATTCCTGAAGCGAGTGAAAAGCAACATACTGAAATAGGTTGTAAACAGCAAAAAATAAAAAATAAAAATAAATAATCCAACATTATATTACTATCAAGTTTTATTTTAATATTTTACTGTTACTCAGAAAGGCATATACTACCAATGAGATGAAAAGACTGAATGCTTGCTCCTACAATAAAGATCAGAGGGAAACTCATATTATCAAATGATGGTTGTGATGCTATCACATTCCTGGTTAACATCATTAGGACTCCTTATAGCAGTTTCCCAAATTAACATTGATGGACTATTGATGGCCTGTGGAGAGCACCACCTGCTCACATGGTGCTAGAATGCTCCTAATTTCCAGCTTCTAATTGTACTGACAGGAAGCTAAAATATTTTACTCTTTATTTTAAAGACCGCATCTACAAAAACAATGCCCTTAATATCATAATAAAGTCAGTATTGAGTCAGTATTGACACAGAGGGAAAGGAGTAACCAACATCATATCCCGCAAAACATGTATTTTCCTTCGAGATCCTCCATTCAAGCAACAGAACGGCATGGTCTTGCTCAGTTCAACAGCTCTGATGATATTACAATCCAAGGCACAGCACAGTGAAATTAATGTAGAAGTTCAAATGTTCATTCCAGATAGCCACCCTATGCTATAATGGATACTAAATTACCTTTGCATCTCCATGTCAAGATGTAAGCTGAAGTAATTTCTGAAGTATTAATAAGAATTTAAGTGCTTATACTATTCTCGACTTCAGAGCAATTAGAGATTCACCTGCATACACTTACATATCCACATCCCACTCAAAAGTTATCTTTTACAAACTTACAGCTCCCTTTTTTACTCCATAAACAATTCAGACACATGCCCCATGATACCATTATCAGTCTCCTTAAGGACCTCTCTTCATCTGTAAAGAGAGACTACTAAAACCAATTCAACGCTGTGATGGGGGTATACAAACTCTATATCTCCCTAATCCAGGAAATCCATGAGGCATTTCAAGCCAGGAAGAACAGTCTTAAAAGAAGGAAATCCACCCCACTTAGGGTAAGACAGACCTCCACATCTTCCATTCCTCGGGAGAAGTGTAAATGGAGACAAAGACTTCTCCATGATCACAGCCAGCGTGAGCAAAACTGGACATATCCTGAATATCTGCTTCAGAATTCCTGTCAGTGATTTGCCTGAGGGCTCTGAACCCTTACAAACTGTGATGGGGCATTCCATATAAGAACATAAGAACGGTCGTACTGGGTCAGACCAAAGGTCCATCTAGCCCAGTATCCTGTCTACTGACAGTGGCCAGCACCAGGTGCCCCAGAGAGGGTGGACCGAAGACAATGATCAAACGATTTGTCTCCTGCCATCCCTCTCCAGCCTCTGACA